CACCCCCCCCCCTCGCCCCTCCCATCCCATCGGTGTTTCGTGCTCGTGGATGCTTATCCACAAACACCTTGTCCTCGCAGTTTCTGCACCCTGGGACCACTCTCTCTCTCTCTCCATCTCTCCATCTCTCTCTTCAGCACGAAGGAACGTTCGATCGGGCTGGCAGGTATTAGATGGAACCGCGGCTTCGATAGGATAGAGAGGATATTTCGATGAGATATTTCTTCTGCTTCGGAGGATCTTCCCTGTGCGATATATCGCCGAAGACAGTGAACACGGCACCGCGAGGTTGTTTCCTCGAGGCGAGCTTATTTCGAGAATTATTTCTCTTAAGAAAGTTGATTACAAAACAGGAACAAGCGAATGATTTTCACCCTGCACGCTCTGTAATATTCATCGAGATTTCCAATAACGCGAATATCCGCATATTTATGTCTTTGTTCAAACTGTCTCTGAAACTCTTTGCGTGTTTGATTAAAAAAAAAAAAAGTAAAAAATAAAAAATAAAAGATAAACACGAACGATCTTTTGATATATTCCTAGTCGCATCTTGCAGCTGCACGATGAGGCCATTCGCGAGAGATAGCGCGAGCATGCAAATTCCGCCGAGCCGTTAGAAAGCGGCTCTGGCCATTAATCTCCCGGTTGGCCAGCCGATCCCCGTAGATATCCCAGATTTTATAAACAGTTCGTTCGCGGGCTTACACTCCCGCGTATTAACGGCCCCGCGCACGCGGTCCTCCCGTGTAACGGCGGCCGTAAACTCTGCCCGTAAATTCCGGCCGGGCATGGAAATTTCGAGCTTAAACGAAATCCGCGCCCGGTCCGCCACGTGTAACGCCCGCGCGCGTTTACCTCGCGTCGACCAAGAGGGCCGACCAACTTCTACCGTGCTGTAACTGTAAGATCCAGTGGAGGATGACCGTTCTAGCCGGACAGACCGAGCAGCAGATAGGAGAACCGGTCCTGGTTCCATCCAGTTCTCGACAGTGGCCGAAGCTGCACGAACGAGCCGAGATAGATCAGAGGTTGCCCGTTTACGTGCAAGTCCGCCGGACCGTTTAAAGGATACTTCATAATCCGCATATTAATTGCCAGGACATGGCGCCGCAGGTTTCTGCAACGACGATATCTGCGTACCCCGGAGAGAGTTGCTAGTAAAGTTTTCACCGGTGGTCCACCGGTCCTCTCGCATTCCTCTCTCTCTCTCTCTCTCTCTCCGTTTTCCGTGTGCTTCGACCCTTACCGGGTACAGGCGAACACCAACGCCGCAACCATTCCAGTTATTACTCATTCGTTAATCCAAGCACGTTCCAAACGATATACTCGCCTAGCCTAGGGTCTACCTAGGGTCTCCCACCTTTCTCTGTCGTTAATTCTCTCGCGCTGGCTTCCCTGCATGCACAGGAGAACGTCGTAGGGGGTACACACAATCGGCTACAGGATCGACCGCGACAACGCTCGCGCGAGACTATTTCCAAGTACACACGAGACAAATCCTGCGTACCTGCATGTATGTACATCGCCGTACGTGTGCATCGCCAACGTTATACCGTGTCATCGATGCACTCCGCCGTGCATCCCAATGAAGTCCCTCTCCCCGAACTCATCGGCGAACTCCCGCGTTTGAAAAGGTTCGACGCTTTCAGTTCGTCCGCTTCATCCCCGTACGTCGTTCGTCTCTCGATTCTTCCTTCCTTCTCAGCCCTTTGCAGCCTTTTCGGTGACGTTTACACGAAACGAAGGAACAGCTCGCTCGCTCTCCGATTTCCCACAGATCCTCCGCCGATGCTCTCTACCAGGTTATCACGGAAACTTTGGAGCAGAGAGACTCGCGGAGTCGTCGTTCACGAATTCGAGGTTTAAATCCCGAACGATGAACGACGAACGACCTGGAACGTACCGACCTGGAAAATGTTGGCATCCGGCGTAGGATTGTTTCAGAGCGACGTCCTTTATCCAGATTCTTTGCGCGGCCCTCCTTTGCATTCGATTATCGTCGGCGACGTCAGTCTCTCGGTGCTCACTGAACTGGGTAATCAGTCGTATTGGATATCGATGCACTTATTATCGAATCCTGTCGCGAACCGGGGCTTCCCTCCCTCCCGAGTTTCTTACCGAAAAATTACATTTCCTCCCTCTCCCCTCCCGAGTTATTACGATACAACCGCCACCGCCACTTGCTCGGAATATCGATAAACCGACGAGTCGATCGGTCGAGTGCGCTTAAGCAGCTGATATTTAACGAATGACTTCACATCGGTCTGAATATCTCGCATTCGAAATTTCTGGCGAATGAACGACGAATTTCTTCCACGACGGGAAACAAGTCTCCTATCTATGTGAGTCGGTTTTGTAATGAATGTTGTAACGATTCAAGGATTCGCGAGTTAAAAGTTCGAACAACTGGTGTCATATCAATGTATAATGATATGCAGCGAAGATCATAACTCCAAATGACAATAGAGATTTATTAATAATTTAAACTGTTACTTTGATTATAATAATTTAAAGTATTACTTTGTAAAAAAAAAGAAGATCATA